TCAAACCGCTCGATTTCCTTCAGGAGATTTTCCTGTTCGATGCTTAGGGACGTTCTGATGGTCTCCATCTGGAAGATACAACATTATTCAATATTTTGTTCCCTTGAATAAATAGGTGGATACCTGTCTGGCCATGATGTGCTGATGGTTGCTGATGAGACTCCCCAATCTATCCCAAGCTCCTTTCAGTCGATTTACTGAGTCCACCTGTTCTCTGGACCAACTGGCTAGAGTTTGCGCTTTATTGAGCATTTGCTTGAACGTTGCCTCCATCTGGAAATGCTGGATAAAATTAAACAGCTTGGATCAAAAGGCTTCTGTCACCTCTTGGTGCGCCTCAGTAATGCTGCTGTAGTTAAACCCACTTTCTCCAATCTCCTCCAAAGACACTGGTTGCTTAGTTAGAGCCGCAGTTGAGGGGTCGATGAAGTTTTGCAGCTTCACCACGTCTTCCGCTATGGAATCTTTCAAGGAGTACACCAGTTGGTCCCAGTAGCTTCTGTTGTGAGACTCCAAGTCGGATCTCATTCTGGAAAGGCCGATCAGGAAACACCCAACTCGCTCCTCTGCGCTAAATGGGGAGGTTATTTTCATTTTTTACTTGGAGATCGCGAGGATACCTGGGCAATTTGGCTATCTCCTGGCCAAAGGTCTTTGAAGCCCTAAAGTGCAGGTCCCAGTGCTCCCATGAGGTGAGTTTCTTCGCGTCCAGAGGCTCAAACTGCAGCCAAGACTGCCAATGTTTGATCACTGCATCAAGCTGTTCGAATAGTTCTTTTTTCTGTTTGGAGACATTTTCCAAAACCGCTTCGTTCCTTATAACATGCAAACTCCACCAGTTTATTTTTTTTTTATTTAATTTGGGCCTCATATTACCTTTCGATGATTTTTCCGTAAATCTGCTCAGAATTATCAGAAACTCCTTTGAAGTTCTTGGGGATGTTCAGGTACTTTTTCAGTTGCTGCTCATACATTTGATCGAGGATTAATTGGTCTGGGGAAAAATTTAGGGCCGAATTGCGATAAACCAAATCTACACGAATTTCCTCTAAAGTCAAGTGCAGTGATGTGAGGTTTTTCGTATACTCAGCTTCTAAAATTGCGCAAAGTTTTACATCAATTTCGCTTTTCCACGATTGCAGGTTTTTGAAGCCCTTGTTTTCCACGTTTGCTATAACGGTTTTGATGTTTTTAATCGTCTGACTCCATCTGGAGAAATCCTTTAGAAGAGTCACATTTTCCAGGTCCTGAATCTGATAACAGTAACGCAATTGGTTAACGGAAATTATGGATGAGGCGCTTCCTCACCTTGTCAATGATCTCTATATGGTAGGAGGTCAGCAAATTGTTGTTCTGCGACAATTTATCTACAACTTTTTTCAGATTGTTCGCATACTTTTCCACGTGCTTTTCTTCGCCCCAGGAAACCACCTCCTGTTCTTGCACCAATTTTGAGAGCTCCAAAGCACTGGATAACATCATTGGTTTTTGCGATGGGATCATACGATCGCCGATTGTATTGTGGAAGTTTGCGATCTGCAAAGTTTTAACGTTTTTTTCTATTAAGTTGTAGCTGCGGATTACAAGCCTGTTCAAGCAAGCGGGCGAATTTCATGAACTTCTTGGCATGATCGCTGGTTTCCTCAATGATGGGAGGAAGTTGGTAGCCCATGGCCTTTAATTGACGGACTTCTGATATAAGGGTGATTAAGCGCGAAGGGTAGTTAACTTTCATGAGCTTGTCCTTGGAGAATTCTATCACTGGGTCGGTCTCTTTCAGGCTGCAATTTCAGTTCAGACAAACAATGAGCGACTAAGACTTGGAGGAGTTAGTGGCACCTTAATTTATTGCTGTTAATAGCGGTGATAACATCGGAACTCCATCCATTAAACAGCTCGCCATGTTGCGACTTCAAATTGTTCACTACCCCTTGAATGAAGTCTTTGATACTCTGAAACCCTTCTAAGTCGTTGAGCAGTTTGTCCAGCACGAAAACAACCTCATTGACTTTGCCTTCCAGTTGTCGTATAAAGAGGATTTCTTTTATGGTGTCTGACGTTTCCTGCCTGGTCACGATTTTGGAAGTTTCCAAATTGGACTGGCTTTGAATTTGAGCCACGTACTCACTAAGTGAGTTGAGGAGAAACTGGCGTTCAGCTAGAAGGTTGTTTTTTAAGACTTTCCGATTGATCAGCTCGGAGTATCTGGTGAACTCGTAGATCAACTGAAAGAAGATCAAAGAAATTGCCAATCTAGTTACGTTTCAGTGCATGCCTGTCGGGTGTTTGCATTTACGCTCATCAGCTGCTTCTTCAGCTTCGAAGCCACTCTTTCTTCGGCCGGTTGCAGGAGATACTCAAACTCCTTTCGAGCTTTTAGTAGGTCTTTGGTGACATCGTCGCAGGTGAAAATGTCCACATCTGCAACAAATTAATGAAACTGCGGAGGAAAATTTGTTGAAATCCTCTACTTAGGAAAGGCTTGAAGACTTTGTCGGCATCCAAATCACTTTGCTCCTCTGGAGTGGACAGTCTCAGGAGCTGTTTGTGAGCAGTCCTGATGTTGACTACCTAAAGCCGCTAGTGCTAGTGGAGGGTTTTGACGGAAAATGAGTTTACTACCTCTTGGATTCGAGATATAAATTGCTCCAACTCCGAGGGCTGATACGCGGCTTCTTTCCAAGGATTGGAGCTGAAGCTGGGCCAAAAAAGCCCGGTAAGCTGCATGCAAGTTGTTAGCCACTTTTCCCCCAGAGCGACACTTTGCAAACACTTTTCCACCACAACATTATAGTCATCTT